AATGTTTTTTAAATGAAAAGACATGCTGTCCCTATTACTGTCTGTACCACATGTTGTCACACCTACCTGCCTGACTCTCCTGTTCTCTACTTCTGTTTCAGAGCTTCATCCACTTGCATTCCCTCTTTTGCATAGGAAAATGGCACAACCTGCTAGAATTGCATTTGCTCAAACTGCTGAGGTGTATCTTACAGCCACATGACTTGCACATTCTTGTGCAGCCACTAGGGATTGTTGGGCCATAAAACTGATAGTCACAATGGAGAGAACCTCTGGGGTGATCTTTTTAACTGTTTAACTAATTTAATCTTTAAACTCCTTTTTAGCTGGAGTTTACAAGCTGTTTGCTGAAATTTTCCCAAGTGGACGTAACTGCCTAGAATGTCATAAAAGATGTTGGCAGGAAACATTTATTTACAGATATTTTATAGAACATGGAGAGAAAGTGCCATGAAAAAGAGTCAATGCCTTTATTCAGGATAACCATCACTGTTGCTCCTGGATGAGGTGTGCTGAGCTGAAATAAAAAGCTATGTTGGCAGGAACTCTGTAAGCCTTGAGTCAGGAACAGGTATGAAAATATGATAGAAGGAAGCATTCTCTAAAAATGAAGGAAATAGGTGAAGTTATGCTTTCAGAATGAACAAACTGATGACCATTGCAAGATTTCACACAAAATTTTAGATGCAAGTCACAGTGTCCTTTACACAGACCAAAGTTATTTTGTGTAAAGTTTGGCTCTAAAGAAACTACATAAATGTGTATACTGAAGACTTCTTATAATTATCAGGAATTGGGAAAGAAGCTCAAAGCATTCTGGGAAAACAAGAGATATATATCTATACATCTCTCTATAAGAGATATACATCCTATATGTATATCCTCAATGTTAAACATGATTCTAGAGTCAAGGAACTGGCAGTTTCCTGCAACTACCAGATGTGTGAATGCTACTGAAAAGCTGTATGTTTTCAGAATTTTAGTGAAGGGCTTGAAAGTTTAAGACTCTCCTTAAAATGTCTTATGTTACCAACCAAAAATCTCTTCAGGCTGACAGCATGTACTCTTTACAGAGCTTCACCACACTTCTGTGGTCCCCCACCCTGAGAAAGTGCAGTAGCCTGGGTCTTCATGTGGCAGAGCTCCAAAATGGCTTTCCCCTCATCCCACCCTTGTCACAAGGGCACCACGGCTTTCTTCATCAGCTCCATTTGTTCTTTGTGTTTTTTGGGGTCTCCATAAGCCTCCGTGTCAGTGTCTTTGCTTTCATTGATCCTTAAGCATGATGTAGTGGTTCCCAATCTCATCCCTTATTCTGTGAGCTTGCAAGAGCTGCTGCAGCTGCAGTCTGGTCTGTCCCCAGCACCCACTGGCTCTTCCTGCAGGCTGCAATAACAACCTCTGAGCAAAGCTGTGACTCCTGAGCAGCTCTGCTGAGCAGGGACACAACAGTGCCCATAAAACAATTACAAAGGATTTGAATTAAATAGTTCCTCACTCATCTGTAAGTAAACCTCACCTATGGGAAGTACCTGATTTACGTATATGGACAACTGGAACCCCCTACAAGTTTCCCTAGAATAGAGGCCTCAACAAAGACTGCTCCATCAGCTAAGGAGTTAGTACAGATTATAAGAAAGAGCTTTGTTATCTTTGGATTTATACATCATTTACACCAAAAGTGGCAAAAAAGGATGTGGAGATTTACTATACGAACCTGTCTACAATATGTGTACAGACATCATGTTTGCATTAGTCTGTTCTCCTAAGAGATGGCTACAAATGGAGGGGAAGGAAAAACAAACCCTGAACTTTGCTGCCCAAAATATCCATGCTGTAATCGCCTTTGTTTAGAAAATTAAATCCATGCAGTCTGCCAAACCTTCCTCCCTTGCCCATCTGCACCCTCTGTGTGCATCAATGAAGTGCTCTTGCCTGTGCATTTCAAGTGGTAGCAGGTGAGAGTGGTTTATAAATCCATTAAAAGGCTGAAATGTCTTAACTTCACCATTTGCTTCTCTGGACCCTTCTTTTTTATACTAACACAAACTGAATCATAAAGGGACATGAAATTAATGCCTCTACATTCTCAACCCATTATAAAAATCTTACTTGAACATATTTGTAACAAACTAAGAAAGGAGTAATTTCTTTAGCAGAAAATCTAAGATGTATTAAAAAGGAATTGAATTAGATGAGAACAAAGAAAGCATTTAAATACAACTCTTCTGTTAACAATAATTAACAAATTCAATTTTCATGAAAAAGCACACCTCAGCTCTAGCTATCTGTATTCCAGCTAATAACATCATGACCTAAGTCTACACTAAGTAAGGAAGGAAGATAATGTTTAGATGGGAGTTGTTACAACAACCCTGATTAAACAAAGATTTGATACTCCTTAGTTTTCAATATCTGGACTCTATTTCGCTGTACCCTGTACACATTTATACATTTGTACAAAGATTTGTATATCTATGGGAAAGAAATGCCACTATTCTTTGGTAGAACCATTTCAGTCTAATTATTTTAGAACAGATTATTGTTGCTTCTGTGTCTTTTTACCATGTCTTAGGCTGTTATTTTGCCAGCTGTTCTAGCTGTTGTACCTCTCCTGTTGGTGTATAAACAAATTGCAGAAATGGTGAAAAGTGATTATTCAAAAGGATTCATAATCTAGTTTTTTGTAAATGGATTATAAAATATATTTTCAGATGGATGTCTGTTTGTGCAAGTCAAACACTTTCTATGCACAACATTACATAAGAAATCTAAGTTAATTTTTATGTTATAATAAAACCATTGCAATGCACTGCAGCCACTTCAAAACTACTTTGTGTGTACATTTCACTTATATAAGGTTATAAACACTTCCATCATCACTGATAGCAGTAGAAAATACTAACTTTTAAGTGTCAAGAATGTTTCTTACATCTATTGCAGCTTCCAGCATTTTTCTAGCACAAAATGTAAAGATGCAGAACTGCTTTTAAAAGAAAACAAGAGAGTTTATTTTGAATGAGTTTATGACCTCTTAGCAATTGAATTACCTCACTGCTTTGCTAGTTTAGGTTTTTTTTGCTTTTGAGCTGTGTTTTAATGTATTCTGTAGTGAAACCACCCTGCCAATGGTCACCATTCCCTATTTAGCCATTCCACAAAGCTGAGTTCAGATTCTACTGACATTTATACATGGAGATAATCCCTGGTATGTTCATGTGTGCTTGCACTTACACAAAAGGCAATCCAATAATCAAAAATCTTGTTGCTAAATTCAAAATACTTGTGAGTAATAAATCAAGCATGTTAAAACTTTCATCTAGTTTTCATTCATTTCCTTTTTTCATCTGTCTGAACTAATAGTCTGACTTTACTCTCAAATTTAAATTGATATTTAAATAACAAATAGTATTTTTAGAATTTGACTACAGTGCTGATACACGGTACATTTCATTTGTAGATTTCCAATTCCAGATATTACTAAGTAAGCAGACTGTATTTACAAAATAAACACAATTCTGATCAGTTTTCCAGTCTACCCAAGGTGCTTTAACAATTTCTGAGAGAATAGCTGCATTTGTCATCTATTCATTTTCCCTTTTCATCTGTTATATATTGTTAGAAAAATATGTAAATAAAACATCCAGCCATTTGGAAAGCTGTGTTATTTAAACATAAGCTGTATATTTTACACCTGAGTTAATGTATTTTGCTTGTGTCTTGTCTCACACCACCACTGCCTGTGGAAGAGCTCCCCAGGGATGAATCCATATCCTTGAACACTTAAGGTGCACCTCTTGTTTCCCCTGCCTTACCCTCTGTGGCAAAGGGCACGGATAAAGTTTGTTCCCTTTAGGAGAACTGAGTTCTGTAATTCTGTGATAAAACCAGGACCAAGAGTGGGACTCCCTCGCACGCCGTTTCAGTGGCAGCGGGAAGTTTGTCCATCCATAAGCATCACTCCAGAGTCCCAGATGTGAGTCGACACTGGACAGACTTAAAACTTCTACAGCATTTCTGTCCGTGGAAAGCATGCTCAATCCTGTGACAAAAACGGGAAAATCTAGAATGCTTCAGCCAACACTAATATGTAGCCTAACTGGCACTGACAATCATAACAAAAGTTTCTTGAATTTTCTCTAGATTTATGAGTGTCAATTCTGTTACTCCGTGTGAATATTAATATCACTTTATGCAATGATCAGAGACTGTGGATGTTTTAGGCATTTACATCCGTGACGCTGAGGGAAGGGAAGCAGCGATCCCAGCCGTAAGTGATGTGCCAGCTAATGGAAACCTCTGCTCCACACAAAGGAATGCAATTACCCAGTCCCTGCCGGCGGAATCATCCCAGGGTCGATACAAGAAGAGCTGGTTACTGCAGGTGATTTTTTTTTCTTCTTCATGCCTTAAAATAAAAGGAGAAATTCCAGGTAGAAGTCACGGAAGTTAATGTGGATATGCAGAAGCTATTTGGAGAATTGTCCTTACAGCCATACCCTGGCCTGGCTTTGAACGCTCACACTCTGTAGCCGTGCAGCACAGAAGTTATTGTGTATTTCAGTGTAGGGCCACTGCCCAGGGCCTGTCCACGTCGTATTTACACCACTTACAGGCGTAGCTACCAGCATTATAAACTTCTTCATGCAGCTTTATGAACTTCTTCATGCCGACCCCGTACTGGAAGCACGGATCACACTCCGACTACAAGTTACCCGTGGAGCTGAGGAGCTCATGCGCCTCCCACGGGCCTCCTGACACTATGGCAGGCGGGAATGTGAATTCCGCTCGGTTCTCCCCGCTCGTTCCCGGCCCGGAGCCGTCCCCGCCTCCCCGTCCCGCCGCCGGGGCTGCCCGCAGCAAAGATGGCGGCCGGGGGGGGGGGGGGGGGGGGGGGGGGGGGGGGGGGGGGGGGGGGCGCTGGCGCTGCGGCCGCGCCGAGGGGAGCGGGAAGCACCGCCCTCAGCAAAGATGGCGGAGGCAGCGCCCGAGCGTGCCAGGCGAGGGTCAGCACCGTGACGCCTTTCATTTCCGGGTGAGCGCTAGCGGGCGCCATATTGTCTTGTCCGTGAAGACGAGGAGTGATAGCGGGGGCAGCGCGGCCGCGGAGCGGCGGCACCGGCGGCGGGAGGCGGGGGAGCGCGTAAGTAGCGGGGCGGGCTGCGCTGCGCTCGCCAGCGCTCCAGGGGGGCCGGCGGGTGTCGTTGACCCGCTCTTCCCCTTCGCTCCGAGTCGAACCGGGAGGGCGCCGCGCGCCGCGGTGGCGGCGGCAGCAGCTGCTCGCCGGGCGTGAGGAACCGGCGGCGCAGACAGCGGAAACCGGCGGCCGGGACGAGAAGGGACGAGCCGAGAGCCGCTCGCCCTCCCCCGCTGCCCGTCCGGGTGGGTGGGGGGGGCGGCGCGCCGCGCATGCGCGGTGAGGACGTTGTGGGGGGGCGTTGGGGACCCCCGGGACCCCCCCCCTTCCCCCCGCCCGCCCCCCCGCGGGGGTCCCCGGTGGGGACGGGCCCGGTGCCGGCAGTGCGCATGCCCCGGGGCCGCCCCGCGCCGCTGCCGCTGCCCCGGGAGAGGCCGGTGCCGAGCGCGAGCCGGCGGGGCCGGGATGCTGCAGCCGGGCCGGAGCCGGGGGGGGGCAGCGCCCGTGGCTCCGCGGGGCGCGGTGTGTGCCCGGGCTGGCCCGTAACCCAGTTAGGGAAGCGCCGTGTGCGCTGGGATTCCGTGCTTGGCTGTGTCAGCAGCCTGGCTCCCGCACATGAAATGTATTCCTGGGGTATTTGTGCTGTTTCATGGCTTTCGGGGCCGCTCCTATGAGTTCGTTCCACTGGAGGGCTCCAGAGAACTGAAATTCACACAGCGGCATTTGCGAGATACCTGCACCAGTAGCTTGGCAAACGCAGGGTGTTTTTAAATGGGTTCTCAAACAGATCATGGTTTGAAAGCCGTTTTGCTTTCAGCGCTTATCCCTGCAGTTTCTCTGTACTTCATTAGGTAATCCCACAAAGTTGTTGAAGGGAATTTTAATGGGATGTGCTAGGCTTTATGGTTAAGGATGGAGACACAAAAGTGATCCGAGGGCAGGAACCACTCTTCTGTGAAGACAGGCAAAGAGAGCTGGGATTGTTCAGCCTGGAAAAGAGAAGGCTCCAGGGAGACCGTCCCTTGTTGTGGGCTTTCAGTACCTAAAGGGAATCAAAGGTACTTTTGTGCATGAGAAAGCTGGTAAAAGGCTTGTTACCAGGGCTCTGGGTGAGGGACAGCAGTATTAAACTGAAATATAGATTTAGACTGAACATCAGGAAGAATTTGTTTATAATAAGGATGGAGAAACTGTGGAATACATTTCCTATGGAAGCTGCATGATTGGAAGTGTCCAAGATCAGGTTGGACAGAACCTTCAGCAACATCATTTCATGCAGAATGTTGAACTAGATGGTCTTCAAAGGTCCCTTCCAACCCAAACCATTGGATAATTCTGTGATATCCTACCCCAGCTGAAATTTCCTAAGCTTCTGTAACAAATGATAATGGAGAGTATTCAGACACCTTGGTTGTTGTTCATTTCTTCTCTTATACACCTGTAAATGTTTTCTGTCTGTTGGAAGGTGTGGGGTACAGGAAACAAGAGTTGCCCTAAAGGGTTGCCCTTTGTTTTGAGGCACAGTCAGCCACCTTTCACAGAGGGGGAATGGTGGTCTTCAAGCATAAAGCTTGTCTACCAGCAGACAGTATTCCAACATCATTTTCCAAAGGCAGGGTTACAAGTACCAGTGCAGTTCAGCCAACACCTGTACTGTTGGCAGGAGTAAGAAACCCCTTGCTGGAGTGCAGCTGCACAAAAGATGGCTCTGATGGGGGTGACAGATGCAGCTGCAGCTCCCCTGACTGTAGAACAGAGGGGAACTGAAAGTCTCTGCTTTGTCCAGGCACAAGCTGCTAGGACTGCTGACAGACAAGCTCCTGGTTTTTAATTTGTTTGGTGCAGCAGCAAACCTTGTGTCATCTCTGCTGTTAGCCATGACAAGGCTTCCTTTGTCCCATATCACATACAAACTCCTGCTCTGATAAGAATGCTTTCTACACTTTGGGCTCAGGAGTCTTGTAGGGCTTAAGAGTCCACAAATTTAGCACAGTTCCACAATTTTTTAGTGGTTAGCTCACCTTATAAGCTGCAGTGGTAGAGTGGAGTTATAACCATGTTTGATTTTTAGTTAAGTGCAGGATTATGTAAAGATTCAATGGGAACAGGAGTGTCCAGTCTCACTTCTTTTTGTGACTGAGGTATGTGGTGGTTCTGAGTCTGTTTTTGGGAGCAAGTAATATTTTGGGTAAGTTTTATTAAAGTCTTCTTGCTTTCATCACTAGCTGATCCCTTATTAAGTGATAACTGTATTTATCATTGAGGTCAATATCTGTTCATGACTAGTGAGGAGTAGTTGTTTATTTAGTTATTTGCATTGTTAATTTTTGTGTAGAGCATGTTCATTACAGAGGAAGTTGTAGATGGACCATTCACTTCAGAAAAAAAAATAATGCTGTGTTGCAGGGCTAATTGAAAACCCTGCATCAGGACTTTCAGTGGAATGATACACGAAAAAAATAATCAGGTTGGACATTTTTTCCCCCCAAACCCAGCACAGTTTTGACTTAAACTACTGAAGTTATGATAATGTTTCTGTGGTAGTAAATGTTCTAGCAGTGATTTTGTTTTGATACTGTATGATAATCAAATCATGTATTTGTCTTTGTCTTAGAAATAGAAAAAATAAGTAAATGGTACCTGGATGCCAATATCTGGTCCTTTTGCTCTTTTAAAAAAGAGTTGTGTTCAGCTCAGTGGATATGTGGATGTAAGTTTGGATTGACAGACCTTGGAAGCTGTACTGCTGGAGTGACTCCCTGAAGAAGATTTCACAGTACTTTTTTTTTTTTCTCCTTTTAGTTTTTTTTAAATTCGACCTTTGTTCATGCTGCTTCCTCTTGTTAGCATTGTAAATATTAGTCAGACATACTGATGTGTGAACAAAGTTCTGGGAAAACTTCATGGATCCTGAGCAAGCTGTTTGCATCAGTTCTTTTTCTGGTTCTGTATTTTGGATCTTGGTTACACATTTGAAAAGCCTCTGTTCTTCAGTCTGAGAAAGAACAGTTCTATGTTAAAAAATGCAATGGAACAAATTTTAGTGATACACAACTATAAGTGAGCTGGAAGATTTTACATGTTTTTGACTTATCATGCTAACAGATCCCAGCAGGCTCAAAGGTACAGATAGCTTCTGGCTCTCAAGAGGAGAAGAGATGCATGGTACCTGGGCATGAAATGCTGGGACAGCTTAGGGTGGTGCCCTGCCTGATGGATAAAAGTCTTTGGCCAAGTGAAAGTGTAGTGAATGAAACAGAGAAGTAGGCAAGACAGTTACTGTAACGTTTCTGATTTATTGCAGACTTAAAGCACACCATAAGTAATTTATTTTCTAATCAACAACTGAGTATAATACAGTAATAAATATTAATTCTCCCAAGTAAAATGAAAGCTGGGGTGCTTTTGTCTGAGTGATGAATATACATTTGTTCTGACTCTGAGTGAATGTGTCTGCAGCCCCTCTGTAGTAACTTACAGAGTTTGTTCCTATGTAAATGCATAGGATACAGCGCTTTTCCAGACTCCCACATCCTTTTAACTGCAGAAGGGTTCTGTCTTACCTGGGTCTCCTATGCTAAGACCCCCACCTAATGATAATTCTTTTGACACCCTTTCTGCATTAAATTTTTTTTGGTAGGGGGACTCCTTTGGGTATGCAAAGCTATTTTTCATTTGCAGTTCGTTTCAGTTGCACCTCTTTTGTACAAATTCTCACAGAAAAGTGTCTTTTATTCCAGTGACACAGTCATGGAAGAAGTGCTCAGTTTACATTTCCTTCCAGTTGGGAGCACTTTGAAACAGACGTCTCTGGAGTTTGTACCATGTGTGTCCATTATTGACTTTGGATTCCAGTGTGGTTGGATATTGATAATACCAAGGTTGAGCTGCTCTTTCTAATTCCTTGGGAGAGCTATGTAAGCTGTTGGTGTTGTGTACCCAGAGGATTTATCCACTAGTTCAACCTCATTGGTGATGTCTTTGCTGCCATGGCCCTGTTGAAGCAATAGCACAGTGGAAGGAAAGTGAGGGGGGAACAGCTCTGCAGCAACACTTGCTCCGTTTGAACTCTTGGAGGAATTGGCCTTATTGCTGTCTTTCTACTGACTGCCCTGATCCTGGTGTGGTGAATGTAGGATTATGTTTATCCTGCTTGCAACTGAACAGTTGCACAGAATTCATCATGGAAACTCATCATGAGCTTTCAGTCACTGTGCTAAAACTTCACAGAGTCAGTGTCAGCTACCTTGAATGAAAGGTAAAAGCCTTACATTAAAATAAGGCACCCACATGAAAGATCAAGAAATCAGGCTATTGATTTCAAGGAGCTCTGCTCCTGAAACATCTCCAGTTTCCTTTAGGTTCATCTTCAGAGCCTAAATCTATATGAGATAAAGAAACTGCCCACAGAGTATGTGATGCTTTTGAGATCCTTCTCAAGATGTGTTGTGGATGACTTCTGTAGCCCAGGTTCTACAGGGAACATCAGAGACTAATGTGCCTTTGTGTGTTTCAAAACCAGTAATTGCAGTTTGTTACAAACCAGGACTCCTACCTCTTGGGGTTTTTCCCTTCAACTGTGTAGACCTAAATATAGTCAAACAGTCATGGCTGCACTGTCAGGTTACCTCAGAGGATGTGGAACATCTCTGAACCCTGAGGTACAAAGAGCAGCTGTGTAGGGATTCTCCAAGTATGCATGATGGCCTGCTCTTTCAGCTTCCTTGTTCAATTAGATGATGGATATTTCTTTGCTAAATGCCATGCCTGTTTGGAATGCCTGCAAGACAAATCTTTAGTCACCAGAGAAATTCCTGCAGCTGTGTGTTAAGAGTTTAATTAGCAAGTAAAACTTGTCAGGCCATCTTGTGTCATACATTGACCTGCTCTTCAGGAAAGATGAGTAGCATGATCAGAAAACTGATGCAACAGCCTCCCCTCAGCATCAGAAGGGTCTTGATTTCTGGCTGTGGGTTCTATAGGTTCCAGAATCCTTAGTCTGCCTG